GAAAAGTAAATGTATGGATATAAAGACTCCCATACTCCACCGAATGCTCTTCAAAATCCTGCTGTAAATGGTACTAAATCTACTGAAGGGCTCTTTCTTGAGAAGAGCACAAGAAAACCAGGTCTGGGCCCCCTTCCTTACTGTTGCTGAAGATGTTAAGTAAGGTGGACAGCAAAAAACCAACTTATGAGTTCATTACTTCCCTGTTTATTCAAATTTGTCTCATTTTTCACGAGTACTTTTGCTCAGTGATACTAAACAGTGAGTCACGGCTGATTACTTAAAACTACTAAGTTATTTTAAAATTTAAATTAATCAAATCACCAACAATCTGGATCTAAGACTTCTTACTGCAATCCTCCCATCCCTGCACGTCACCTTTCCTGAGGGCACAGCTCTTCTCGCTGCGCTGTGACACTGTTTAGGAGCATAAACTCTCCAATTAATACCATGTCTTCCCCAGTACAAAAAGTAATCTTAGAGCAATTACATGAATCATTAATCATCACAGAAATGCTACTCTAAAAGGCAGAATGCAAAACATCTGATACAACACTTGCTACTGGAAGAGGCGCTTGCTAATAGCGTTCATTGAAATCGGCATTTTCCCATTCGTTCTCCATTAGGAATCCTTTCCTCCCAGCTTCCATCCATCACATCCCTCCACACATCTTTACAGAAACTCGTGTTCCAGACTGGGATTCTTTTCAAGTCAAGTGGTAATCTTGGCAGATGTGACTGTAAAAGACTAGTGATAAAATACTCAACTGTGAAAGCTAAAAAAGCCCCAAACAACCAAAACTAAAGAGATATTAATTCCTTATATTACTTGCATTAGGAAGCAAACTGATTCTTTTTCTTTAGGAAGCAATAGGGAAGTAATAATCGTCAGTAGGCCCTGACAGGCTGTAAATGCAGACAATTGTGTTTATACTGTTAAATCATGTTTTAAAGTGTAGTGATTTTTTATTATAAATATCTTAGTCACAGGATAAGTGTGTCTACTTTTCAAATTATACTATGCAAATTCTTTTACCAGGCAGGTACTTCTGACAGCAGACCAACTTTTACAGTAACTTGGATTGACTAATCAAATCCTATTGTCTAGTAAATTCAATAGAAAGCATGTTTGCAATGCATACAAATAGCCTTAGAGCTGGGGTTTATCCTTTTTAATTTCTTTCCACTCTTCTAAAGTACTAACATGAAAAGATCCACTCTTCAGCAAAGTGTGCTCCGTGCACATATTGTGTAGCACCACTGTCTCTCCAGAACTACCTCAAGATGTTCTCTGTAATTATTCCATATATTGGATGTTTCTACTCTTCCCATTGTGTACAGAACCATATTCTTGTCATATTCCCTGTAAACACAGTCTACAAACTTCTTTCTTTCTTGATAGATAATCTTGCATTTGACTGTATTAAAATGTACATTGATTGGGTTGAATGGAAGTTTTTAGAAATTATAGATAACTTGTACCTTGACAGCATGCCTTGGTTTTCAGGGAGACATTTTCCACTGGATGCCATCTCTGTCTTACACATCATTTTCAATTGTGGCAAGAAAACCAACTAATTTTAATAACACATCTCATATACCGCATCAGAAAAATGTAAGGTGTGCTCTGTAGACATGTATTCTGCTAAGATAAATGCCTAATACCCTTCATATAATTTAATGTTGCTTACCAAGTCACAGAATCACAGAGTGGTTTGGGTTGGAAGGGACCTAAAGGATCATCTGTTCCCTGCCATGGGCAGGGATATCTTCCACCATCCAAGCTGGCCTTGGACACCTCCAGGTATGGCACAGCCACAGCTCCCCTGGGCAACGTGTTCTAGAGCCTCAGCACTGTAACTTTTCTCTAAAAAATCTTTTTTCTGTTTCTCTGATCTTGCTGCATTTTTTTTTTTGTATTTTTCTTGCTCTTCTTGGATTTTTCAGCCTCTTTTGGACTGAATTCTTTTGGGATCCTCCCTCTTGGGAAGCCCTGCTTATCTCAGTTCTCATGATCTGAAGAAAACTCTCGAGTTCATTAGAATTTTGTTTCTCCTGTTTATTAAATGGTCATCACAAAACTTGACAGGTCTCTCCAGACTGGCTACACAAGGTTAATCTCTGCAATCTGGTACATTTCTTTCTTCTGATGGTACAAACTTGTGGCACACTTCGTGTCTGATGAACAAAATGGCCCTGAAATACGCAGTTCTTTTATCTTTATACCTATTTTTACATCATTAACAATAGACATGTAAATTATTTTTCTTAATGACTCAATGACCCATCACCTGTGTGCTGCACTGTGGCATTTTCTATCCAATCACTCATTACTACCTAAAAACCTCTAGGAGAAGAACATGAAGAAGAAAGAAGAAGGGACAAGAGACAACACCTTAAATCCTTCATCTTGTCTCCTGTTCTCTAAATTAACTTTTTCACCCAGTGATTTAAGAAAACTTTCTAATCTACACACACTTTTAGCTTTTTCTATCTAACTTTAAGTTTTTTTCATGTATCACCATGAAAACATGCTCATGAATATCGTGTTATATGAAATTCAGTGTTTATCTGGATCTTAAAACTAAATATCAGAAACAAGGGCTCACACTCTGTATCTCAGACTCCAACAAGCACCTTCTGAGTAAAGATTTCCTTTCTAACACCTACTTTAAATCTCTCCTCGTTTAGTTAAAACCATTTCCCTTTGTCCTATCCCTGCATATCTGTGTAAATAGTCCCTATTTTTTATGAAATGAAATTAGGTGAAATGGTTAAAGAGACAAGACTTTAACCAAATATAAACAGAGTTTTTTGTGGGAAACCAGAAGGGATTTTTTCCTCAGGCAAGCAGAGGTTAAAATTCTAGGACTCTCCATATGTCAGGTTTAAAGCTGAAAGAGAAGAGATGCTGACAGGAGAGAAATAGAACCTATAAAGGGAAAAACTCAACAAATTATACACTGTCATGGCTGTGCAACTCCAACCTAAAGGCAAATAAAAGCCTCTTTTCCCAAATGAGGGAAGGTATTTACACAACTTTGTATAGTTCAATTATCCTAAGAAACTGTGCCTTTGAATTTAGGTATTAGAAGTGTAGATTTTAAACATTATTTTAAGTATAAGGAATTTTAATGCTTTCATATAATTTTTGAGGTACTAATTCTGCTATAACTGGATGGTCTTTCCCTGAAGTGTGTCCTGAACAATGCACAGCAGGACACTACAACTCTTCTAAGCCTATGTTGGAGGCACAATTTTTCAAATCTACAACTGAAATACATTTCAGTATGAAATCTTAGCTAAAAATAACATTAGCTATTTATATTTAATGTTTGCATGAAAAAAATATCTATTTAGGGTACATTCTGTTGTCCCAAAGATGACAAGAGTAAGTAATATTATTTGAAGTGCAATGTTTTATTTAAGCAGCATGTATAATGAAGCTAGTGGAAAAATATTGAAATTTCAGGAAAGAACAAAATGTCCACCATCATTTAACTGTTATTTCAGATTAGTGATAGATGTTATCATCTATAACTATATAATATATATATATAATATATACTATATATATATTATATATAATATATAATTATATATTATATTTTTATATAATTGATATTGCATATATTAATTATATATTATATATAATATATAATTAATATTATATATATTATATATATAATACAAGAATACATTATATGACTTACCTCTATCAAGGAATGAAACAATATCCAGCTATTTCACTATATTGTATATTAGACAGTGAACCTAAATATCAGCTTGTTTCAATATGGCCCAAAAAACTACCGTGAAGTAATCGACACAAAAGAGGGTTCTTGGTGAAAATCAAGTTCAGAATTATCCTGTCAGCTGTTCAGAAGCCAGTGTAGTAGTCATTCAGCTGAGTCAGAAATTGCTTTTTTTTTTATTCTACCAACCAAGTTTCAGACATCACAAATGAAATCTTGGTCCCAATTTGATTATCTAAATTAAGACTTTTTCCTGAAGAGATGAGTCAGAGGTCAAAGAAGTTGAAACTTATACTATTTTCCATTCATTTGTAGCATATAAAACTAGGAAACCAGTGGTCTTTTAAGATAAAATATAAACCCAAAATTAAATTTAATTCATAGTAACTAAAAAAGAAATAATGTTAAATGTTCTACAACCTAGTATAGAACCCAGACAGAAAGGTAGTGTTAAGAGTTATTCCTAAAATAATTTAATACCTCTTAATAAACAATCACCAACAAAGGAGAATACTTCATAAGACCCACAATACTGCTTTTTTGATGGGTTAATTCTAATTCCAACACCTAAAAGTTGCAGTGGATCTATGCACAGAAGTTCTGGTTGCAGGAAGAAATTCAGATGACCAAGTACAAATCTGACTGCTCTACTGCAGTGTCCAAGTGTCAACAGTGGTTTTTAAGAACCCTTTTCTTCTCCCAAGATACATTTATTATTTAAAATTATTAATCATTAAAGAACCAGGTGATCACTCATATATATAAGTATAATAAATACTTATTTTAAAAAAGGTGAGAGTCCATTTAGAAATTCCTGGATAGAACATGGCATACTGACGTCACTTTATTTAAGAATTAGCTCTTGTCCCATAGGCATTCATCCAAGTTAGCTGGGATACAGAGGCATGAATTCTTTGGTTAGTTTAAACTTAATCTAGACTAAACCAGACATCTGAATTAGGTATGTGAAATTCACCCCCATAAAAATATGTCTCAATTAGCTACTGAATTTAGACTGTTAATGTCAGGATCTTGAAATGAATCTATGGGGAATATTCCAAATACATCAAACCTGCAATTTTTAAAAACTTGGTGTTTGATGCTCTTTTAAAAAAAAAAAGATGTCTTTTTTGTATAATTAGTGACACCCACTTATATTTAGGTATATATAAGGCATTTATTTTGCGCATTTTCATGCTCTATACTACTTCATAATCAAAAAGAAGCACAAAGGTAAGACAGAAATATTCTCCAATAACCTTCATTTTATTTTTTCAGTTTGATACTATCTGCCCAGTTAGCATTCTGGAAAACAGAATCTAAGAAAATTATACAATCATGTAATCATGTATTTTTCTTTAGAGTTTAATAGCAGCCCTTAGTTTGGCCGACCTTCCTCTTGGGTTTGTTTGAATATCCTTGGCCTGGGGTGTGAGGACTTTTTTCTGTATCAAAATCCACTTTGAGTTGGATTTTCCATGGGGAGATTCTCGTGCATCTTCTCCTCTGGAGGAATTTTTCAGAGCCTGTCTTATCTTCTGCTTTGAGCCAAGACTGTACTTCTCCGTCATGTCAATTCCATGAAGAAAACGTTTGACAATACGATCTTCTAGCGAATGAAAGGAGAGGGCTACGAGGCGACCTCCTGGTTTTAGAAACTTCTCAGCTGTCCTCAGTCCTATGAAGAGTTCATGGAGCTCATCATTTACAAATATTCGCAGGCCTTGGAAAGTTTTAGTAGCCACGTGCACAGGTCTGTGAAGAAGGTCCCTTCGTGCATAGAGTGCTGAGGCTGGAAAAGCACCTGTCATACAATTTAAAAGATGCAGTCAATAGTTAAATAAAAGTTAATAACTCAGTATTTCTGCATCCTGACATCCCCTCATGCAAGATGAATTTGAAGGAAAGCACAGTCAAAACTGGAACTTGAGTAGTGAGCTTACTTCTTTGTAATATATCTTTATTTTATGTTTTGAATTCACATCTCTGAATGTAAACCCTATTAAACTGAGACGCTTCGTGGTTAAGTGTTGGGGTTTTTTTCCCCTAGAATCTTTTAGAGAAATTCCTTCTCCAAAAGCACCACAAATTTAAACTGAAAAATAATAGCTGAAATCAAGATAAAGAAAAAAAAGATAGGATAGGTAAGTCTCACAGCTCAGTGTAATCAATGCCAATTTGGTATTTGTGGCTGTGTGAGGCTTTTAAGGAAAAAAAATAGTATAAAAATAAAAATTAATAAAAATAAAAATAAAAAATAAATAAATATATACATACAATATAAATAAATATATAATATATGTAATATATATTATATAATATATATATAATATATAAATAAATAAACATATATATATATATATATATATATATAATATATACAATATATATACAATGGCCACAATTTCACCTGTTACCTTCCAGATAATTGCATTTCCTCACAGACAGAGATAACTGAAGACAATGTCTGCCTGGTAATAACTACCTTTCAAGGAATCACTTGGAGTTTAAAAGAGGTATCCTTGTTTGGGAATAGCAGTTGCTGAACTACACCTGTTTCTCTTCAAATGTTCGCAAAAATACCTTGAGAAATTTAAAAAATGCAGCTGTTGTGTTTTTCTGAGTGTACACAGCAGAATGTGTCAGACCTAAAATCACCAGAATAAATATTTTTTATTAGATGCACAAAACTCCCTCTTCCTTTCCCCAAAATTCTTATGAGCCAAACAAGTTTTTGTAGAAACCGAAATTTTGATAGAAATTTTAATATATCAATATTTAATGCTTTTTAGGCTTGAACTTTCATTACATGGGTACAGAATAAAAAGCTAGAGAAGCCTTATTTGATGGATCAGAGTACTACAATGCAAGAATCCTGTAAGATCTGTGAAACCCAAGTAAATTTATAATCTATTATGGAAGTGATCACAGGAGTCTGGGAAAGACAAATTGAATAAATAATGCTAGCACATAACTGGACAATTATTTTTCAACACAACTGGTATATATGTATTAGAATGCCCTAATTTCAGTGCTAAGCTATAACATAATGAAGCAAAGAGTTTGAAGTTAATGAAGTTCATAATCAAGTAATTGATATTCTACATAGTGAAGTAAAAGAGGGGAATACTGTACCTCTAAAATTAGTTGTTTAAATTCAAATTTGCACAGTGATTGAAAAAAAGTGAGTAAATATCATTATCCATAATATGCTTGCACAGAAGAATTGATTAGTAGATTTCTTGAGAGTTTTAAAGGTAAGATTTTTCTTATGCCAAAAAGCCTAAGTGTTCACTAAGTGTATCACACACACAAGCAATCTCAGTGCTCAGCAAAGACAGAGGAAAATAATGGGATTTTAAAATTCAATCATTATTAACAAAGCTGTTGTCATGTATGCTAGGTCCCTAAGATACATTTCTGCATAACTGATTTTCCTAACTACCTTCCCTACCTCCTCTGATCCTCTCATCTCCAAAGCTAACAGCTCCTAAATTCACTGCAGGCACCCATTGTAGCTTTGGCTGCTTCCAATCCTTATAGTCTGAATCCTTCAAGACAGGAAGTGGCAACAGGATTGACTTCTCCCAACAAATTTGTGGCTTGAAGCTGTCTCACAAAACAGAGTAAACAGATGTAGGCTGCAGGAGATAGGCTTCTCCATCATTTACAAACTCTGGAAAAAGCTACACTAGCTAGCTAATATAATTTCTGTCCTTGAGAATACAACCTTCTATATTTACTATGAATCTTAAAAAGAATGTATAATCTCATTGTAGAAGTCACAAAACTCATTTTGATAAGAGACCTGAATTAAAAGGAGAACTAAAAAATCAGAGAGCATAAGTTATCCCAAGAAACAGACACCAAGCTTGTACTAATTGGCACGGTATCTGTTTCCATATTTCTTAACATACCTATAGAAAGATTCTTTGAAAATGGAACCCTTGGAACAGCCATTGAGTGCCAGCTGTGTGTGATGAAAACTGTCTCTTAATGTAAATTGTAAATTTACTGTCTCTTAATGTAAATTCCTTCATAACAAGAAGGAATTTTATGCTAGGCAAAATAAACACAACTTTCTTTACAGGTCAAGTAACAACTACAAGCACTAGTAGAATGTTCAGAATTATTGAATGGATTAGAGGTTGGAAGAAATTCTTCCCTTTGAGGGTGGTGAGGCACTGGAACAGGCTGCTCAGAGAAGCTGTAGATTCCCCATTCCTGCCAATGCCCAAGGCCAGGCTGGATGAGGCTTTGAGCAGCTTGGTCCAGTGGAAGGTGTCCCTGTCCATGGCAGGGCAGCTGGAACTGGATGGTCTTTAACATCCCTTCCAACCCAAACCACTCTAGCAATCTAAATTCAACTTCAAAAGACTTTGTAAAAATGTAAATGGACACAGTATGCTGATATCTGGGCAGATTTTCCTTGGCCTGATCATGAACACTGATATTTTGCAATTGCAATGCTGAATAGATAAATAAAAGAGCAATGACACTGAGGCCATCAGCATGTCTAGGACACTAACAGGTGTCTGAAAAGTTCCTCCACTTATCCTGCCATGGCTGTTGAGTGCAGTTTTTTTCCTGCAATAACTTTCTATGACAACTGTGACATTAATTTATTATTATCAATAATTTATCACTGAAGAAAAATTAATTAAAGCCCAGTTATATTCTGTAAGTATAATACAACCTTACATGCCTCAGTTGAACATGCACAAGGAGCACTGCAGGTCCTATAACAAAGAACAGAATACTAATATTATAATAATATTATAATATTATATATATATATAATATATATTATAGTATAATATAATATACTAATATTATTAATAATACTAATATTCAGGATATTGGTAAATGCAGCCACTTTGCATTTTTATGCAACCAAAACCTCACAGATTAAAAACAAAATCACACTGTCTACATGTTCCAAGACTTACTGGTCTATTGTCAAAGACTGGGATTAACTAATAAACATAATCTCTGGTAGTTATTTCTGTCACACTGGCCATCAGCTTTTCAGCAGAGGCAATAGATTCTGATCTATGTTCCATGGATGAAAAAATTCTCCTATCACTCTGACTCCTCTAGTTTAGTTAAATAAAAATCTATTTGTGCTTTCTCCTCAGGCCCATCACTTTTCACCCAGGCCCCTCCAGTTACCAAGACATTGAAAGAAAAACTTTCCTGGTAACTGGTTGTCCAATGTACAAAAACATTTAAAAAAAAAAAAAATCTGTATGGGATGCTTGTAAAATGAATTTCATTCATAAAAAACACCACGCTTCTGGCTAGATGACTGGTTGGAAATCCCAGTGAGAGAAATAACCATTTTTAGTTTCAGGATGCCCTGATGATACTTACACTTTAAAAAAAATCAAATAGGTTCACATGTTGAAATCTATTGAAATTTTAAAAGCTTGTGAATGAAATTAGCAATGTGCTGTGCCTGTCAATATGAACTATTAAAGTCTCCAGAGTGTAAGAGAGTGGGAGAGTTTAAAAATTAATTCAGATCGTGCACCTGTTTGCAGGAATTCGTCTGTTGAATTAGCACTGCATTTAATAAGTTTCTGTGACGCAACTAATGTCCTTTTGTCTAGGCTCCCTCAGTACAGTGTTAATTCTCACCCATCTGAAACTCAGGCAACATTACAAATTCCAAACTGATAATTAAGTGAACCAGTCTGAATGAAATTTGCTTTCCCCATTAAAGTGCTTTTTAAACTTTTAAAATTTCTTTAACGTTTCGCTATCAACTCCTTGCAAGTTAAGGCCAAATGATTACATGACCTCAAAATTGTCTGTTAATAGATTATGTATCTAAATAATGCTCAGAAAAAATAAATTTTGAACAAAAATTAATAGATAAAAAGGTCCATTTCCCCCTGAAAATAAATCAAAATAGACCCTTCATTGTACAGGAAAAGCATATGAAAATTACATTCCAAAAATTTCACCAATTTTAATGAGTTTTCCTGCACATGCAGTTAGATCTATTGTTTCCAAACAACTCAATGAGATACAACAAAAGACATCAGGAAGTGCTTCTTAATCAACTTTAACACATCTATTCACAACCTTCAGTTGAGAACTACTGATTCTTAGTATTTGCAGAGCATTCAATGCTGCAAATAGCTCTGTGAAAATTATAAATAGTGAGGAGAGTTTGACTGTGCCACAGGGAGAGATGCTGTTCCCAAGACTCAACCAAAAACTCCTCCTAATGCAGATTCCATAACTTGTGGAGATCTCATTTAAACAGATCAGAAACCTTTTGGATAATATTTATAACCACATTTTTTTTAATGTTGTTTTGTTTCCTTGGGTTTTTTTTAACTACATCCTTCACTTTTATCTTCTAATCAATCAGGAACTGCAATACATGTTCTAACCTTTTGGGAGGTGGTAGGGAAGACCAGAAGTCTAGCATTCTGTAAAAAGAAATTAAATTTTCCAAGTTCAGGTTAGTCCAAATCTAGATTCACTGTGATTCTGATTATCAGCTAGACCTTAAGATAAAACCTGGGAGCTCTAGAAAATCTGAAGCCATTGTAATCAATAAGAGGAGAAAGAAATAGAGACACTACACAAATTCTCAGATGCTGACACCCAGCTTCATTGGCTAGATGTTTTTGCTTGTGTTCTGGTTCCTAAACTAGGCAAAGATAATGACCCTGTTCTGGAAGCTAATCAGGCTTGCAAAGAATCTGCAAAACCTGAAATGCAAGATTTTATAATTCTTATTAATATTTTATTTTTTAAAGGACATAACATTTAACTAATAGGTCATAAATCTGACTCTGGTAAAGTCCTGAATTAGTCAGTGGTTTTTTTTGGGCTGTGCCATCAAGAGGTTCCTGTAGCTGTGGTCTCTGGCACTTTAGCTCTGGTTTATCCCAATAACTTCACCAATATAATTTCATGTAAGAATATATATTAATGATAGATGATAAATAAATCAGAATATATCACAATTAGGAAAATTTTCCTTCAGGTTTTCTTAATCAGTTCAAAAACCAATAGGATCCACCACAGTGCTTTACTGGATGAATCAAATTAAAACTGGAAGAAGTTTTATGCAAACAGGGATCAATGCAACAGCTCTAAAATTGCTGTAACTACTAGTGTACTCCAAAAGAAGCACACAAAAAATACATATTTATTCTCTTGGCAGATGTTTGCTGGACTCGTTGTTTTTGGCATGTACACCACCTGATGCATTCCTGACTCGTAGATCAAGAAGCTCCTCAAATATAGCAGAGAATTCAGACTGAGAACAAAAAAATCCTTCTCAGTGTCACAGAAAGTGACCATTAACTGATGACTCACATGCAGCACATTAAACATGAAGGGATCTTCAATCTCTATCTTTTTATACACGAGTATTTTCATTTCCTTAGTTTGAGCTACGGCACAAAATTATTTCAGAATTACTGAGTTGCTTGTCTCCAACACGTAACATGTTGTACCTTTATCACAGTGATACGTTTTCTTCACACTCAATACTGGTACACTGTCTTAATCAAAAGGTTTTTTTAGAAAAAAAGTACGAGATAGATTTGACAAAGCCCAAAATTATTATTTCAGAATATTTCTAATGATGACATTAAAAATGTAAGGTTTATAAAAGTCACATAGTGCTTAATCTCTGGGGTTTTTTTAATATTGCTATATTCACTGTATTTACAGCAGGGGCTTACAACAGCAAGCAGTGTCTTCAGGTCCTTTTATCATATCAGCTAAACTTTGGGCCTTGGTTGACTGGACATTTTGCTAAAGTATCCTGACTTCTACAAATACAAACAATTAATTTCTCCATCATTAAATTTAAGTGCCTTAGACTTCCAGTTTAAATAATACAAATCTTTAAGAATATCATAAATTTTTTAATAGTCTTCAGGATACTGATACAAATATTTTACATTCTTCTTTAGCAAATGTTAAATTTGGACTAGAATTTTATAGGTCTCTATTCAAAGTCAGCAGTTTAGACTTATTTGTGACAAGATGTAGTAATTTTCATCATTTGGTTAAAAAAATAAAAACATCCTGATGCTACATATTAGAATACCAATGAGCAGGATTTGTGCCTTGCATTTTTCCTTGAAATTTTTTATTTGAGAACACAAATGTAAAGGTTCTTGATGTAAGCACTATTCCTGCCTAACTGCATTTTCTTCAAGTTGTTTACAGTGAGGAGCATGGAAGATGAAGTGTTTCAATACTCTCTTCAGGCTGATCTGTGCACAAGGTGAAGCAAGCCACGTATTGCTTTGTGCTTCCTGATTCTTTAAAAAGACAGAAATTGTCTGATTTTACTCATAATTGGAAACTGCCATGGTACCTCCCCTTAAAATATTAAAATACAGAAATTTAAAACTAAGATATGACATATCTGATACTTGAAAGTTTATCAATAGCCAGGATAAAGAATACCCAAGGCTGCTGTTATTCTGTGGTTCAGCTTGGTTGACAAAATGATAAATCACTTCATGTTAAATCTATTATTAAAGTAATTGTCAAACTACAGTACAAAAAAAATGGGAGCTTAAAAAAAAAAGAAACAGAGAGCTGACATCAGAGCAGAACAGGCAGGATTAGATCCTGCATGATTTCAAGTACAAATAGATCCCTCTGGGACTTTGGGGGATTAATTTTTTTTATTTTTTTTTTTCCCCTCTCCTCAGCAGCCACTGTGAAGAATTAATGAGGGTACCTGCAACAATGCTTGCCAGCTGCTGAGTTCTGGTGATGGGGTATATGCTGCGTGCCTGAACGATGGCTGAAGCGATTTTCCTAGCGTGCCTCTCCTCCCCGTACGTTCTCAGGATGGACGCAAGCGCCTGTTGATCTAAAGCGTTCACAACATCAGCAGCAGTGGGCATGTCAGGGTACCTACGCAGGAGAAGAGATAATTAGTTCACTGACGTCAGTTTTCATTGACAAGAGGTGAAGCTTCATGGCGTTGAGACATAAAGTCAAACACACACACACACACACACACACACTGCACACAAGTGCCTTTGAGGTTTTCAAATAGGAGATGGCAGCTCTGTGAAAACAGCTTGCACCTTTGAAATCCTTTCTCTTGCTGGTCTAAATGGAGTTTGTTCCTTAACTTCAATTAGAACAGGTTTAACTTCCAAGTATTATCATAAACTATGCTTAATAGGGTGACAAGAATAAATATATTCCAGTATCGTGCCAGGATGGAAATTATGTGTGACCTTTCTATTTAGCCAGCTTTAGAATATAAACTTGCCTCTTATGAGTTCATTTTAGCCACCTTGCATCACCTGTTGTTTTCTAGCCAGAATTGATTTCAAAGATCTTTTCTTTCACATCTCCTGCTATGAAACCAATTGCTAATGAAGATAATTAAACATTACTTTTCACTAAAAGGCAAAAGAATTTATATATACATACTCTCCTGAGATAATAGAAATTACCTAGTCATATAAATTACAGGACTTATTACAATTTAAACAGTGTAAGCCTTTAATCTATGAATCTCTGTCACTTCACTACTGAAACAGCTCAAGGTATTTTATGAACATCATCTATGTGTTTACTAATCAGAGAAAACATACAAACTACTTAATAAATTCTCTTCTAAATTCTCCTCCTCTCTTTCAGGCATTTTTTACTCCCCTGCAGTATCTTACAGAAGATAACAAACTTAGAGGCAAGTAGTATCATAGCAACAACCATAGCGTAAGGAGTGTAAGGCTTTTGTTATGCCTCAGGTATCCTTTGTTCTTATGCTCCTGTTCTGTGTCTGTTTTCTCATGATGCATCAGACTTATATTTAAGCCTGGAGTTCAGATTCTTGAAATCTGAGGACTGAATCCCAGGAGAATCATGGGAGCATTCTGCACAGAACCAGAAAAAGCAAGTATCATGAAATTTGCTGTTCAGACTTAATATTAATATGGTAAGTTAATTCCTTAGAAATTGAGGCTCCCCATTGGCTCTTGTGAGCAATATAAGTACAAATTACTTATTTCTTAAGACTCCATGTTCATCAAAACACCAAGAAAAAAATTGTTATTCTCTGTCATGTAATGCACCATGCAATTACAGCCATCATCCACACAAGACAGACCTTTGGCTGCTCATACAAAAAGCAAAACGCTGCAGAAATACATCAGGTTGTCTGAAGATGAAAAATGCTGCATAAGTGGAAATTATCGTTCCACGAGTGATTTTCATGCTCTTGAAAGTACTAAACACCAATTCAAATTTAAATACAGGTGATTTACTCAGTAACCATTAAATTGACAATTAAGTAAGCCTGATGTGCCTCCTACACAAAAAGAAAGGAAGCTTATAATTTTGCTAAGTAAATCTTATAACAAATATATGGTCATGGAAGACAACATCATACTAACATGTCAAAAGCAATGTAGCTACCTGATTTAAACTAGCAAATATAATGGATAGGATTTTATTTATTTATTTTTATTATGTTCCTTTTACAGAGAAGCAACTGGATCAGATGGCCATTGCACAAAAGAGGGATGCTGCTCCTTTCCTGAGGAACCAACTGAACCTGCTCAAGTGAAGTTTCCACAAATAGCAAGTGTGGCAGAAAAGGAAAGGGACTGCAGAAAGAAGTTGTGAGCCTCCAGATCAAGTACAGGCAGAGAAAGAGAGATGTTCCTGTGATTGTATACCATACACTCCAAAAATGTTACAATTTAAAGATACAGTTAATAAAACATTACTGGTTTAATTACTCATCACTGGAACTTTCTTCTTATTTCACAGAAGGCAAAGACAATAACCAGGGCTGAGCACTGATAGAAAAAAACATTCAGCAAAAGAAAGACAGGATACTCATGCAAAATCAGATGTCGTTTGAGGATAAGAATTCTTAATTTTAAGAGGAAAGGAAATGCACAGAGGTTGTGAGCAGACAGTTTTTGATGTTCAAGAAGAAATAATCTATTGTAATGTACCTGTCACAGTCCATCCTCATGTCCAAAGGTCCATCCTTCTGCAGGGAAAAACCTCTTTCAGGTGTATCAAACTGCATAGAAGAACAGCCAACATCCAGGAGAACACCATCCAGAGTCCCTTGCTCAACCCCAGAGGAGATTAACAAAGCCTCTAACTGGCTAAACTGTCCTAGAAGAGGTTGAATCTGTTTCCTGTAAGAAGGTAACAAATAAATAGCCTCAAGTTTAATTACAACCATGCCATCTCTCCCCCTTGCATAGCAGAAATTAAATAATAGCACTTAACTTGTCTCAGAAGCAAGAGAGCTATTCCCCAAGTATTAGTTTATTTATTTTCATATGTCAACATTGAAAACTGGTACAAACCACCCACCCCTCAGTAGCTACTTCAACTTTAACTCTTTACTCCCTTCCTGCTTGATCTTAAAGAAATGGAAAACTGACAGAAATTGTTTTTTTTTCAGTATGTCAGAACTCAAGAGGACACTTTCAGCAGGAATGTCGTCATTATTAAAGTACCTGCCCTGCTTAGCAGGGGTTCTTTGTTAATAAGGCAGAAAAGAAAGAGATCTTGGACCTAGAGAAGCAGACAAAATGGAACAAGAGTGCACAACCTTGTGGTTAATATTTTCCTGCCAGGAAAATAATTCCAAGTTCCTGCACTGGACCAAACACGTTTTAAGTGGCATTTGTCATTTTAAAAATAACTAGAAGAATGAGGTGCACTGAATCATAAACAGGTAAAACACTTAGTGCATTTTGGATTTAGGCACCTGATCACTGGAGAGAGTGGTTTAACATGCACTTTTGTGCTTCCTGTTCTTTCTTCAATTTAAAGTGGTTGTTTGTTAATATTCCCATACTGAGAAGGAAAAGAGGAATGGCAAGGGAGCAGATAACACATCTTCTTCACAGGTTCCAGTGTCCAACCACACAGAGCTCAACCTCACAACTACACAATTTATTTTATCTGTCTCTCAAAATTTCAGTGAATTTCACAGACTTAAAAAGATTAATTAACTTATTGCTGCATTTTTAGGTATTACCTGAAAAACAGAACATATTTCTGCCCATACCAGGAAGCCACTGCCTCCATGTGGGGAGAAAAAGCTCCATTAAAAGGAAGACGCTTATGAACCCAACCACATGGAAGAACATTCAGCTACACAATGTTCTCCCTGTTAGAGCAGAACAAATCCACCTACTAAACACAGCACAGAACCTGGGAAACAGTGTGAATGAACAATTTCCATGAGGGATATCATGACTGCACAGACAATTTTGAATTGATTTCTGTCCAGCCCATAATCAAATACAACTATTCAGAATAATAAGAACTGACATTTCCTGAAAAGCACAATGATCCACTAAAGATATTTAAGCCAATTTAAGCTATATAGTTATATAGCTTTGAGATTGTATTTCCTCCTCAATATAATGAGGTAAATTTTCTTGAAAATATATACCACTTTTTCCAACTGGGCAGTGTCTCTACCTTCATGACTAATGCAAATGAATGAACTTTAAAATTCCATATGTGGGAGATGAGAACAAATGAGACCTGGATAACACTGTAAATTGCCATTGTCCAGTTCCACAGTACACATTAATCTATGTCAATGGCTGTGAAGTACAATCTGAAAAATTACTCTGGACAGAATTTATTTATTGCTGAAGATTTTCTTACATCTCTTTAAACAAGTCATAAATATGTGGATAGCTAAGATGTTTGTGACAGCCTTTGATTTGTGATCTGCCAAATTTTTGTGATTAGAAAAGGTTAATTAAAAAAAGAAGTAAATTTCAAGTAGAAATTCACTCTTTGTTAGAGAGAGATGCTTCAGCTGGAAAACATTCTGGAGTTTGCAAATAAATAATAAAAAAAAAGATTGAAAAATGATTAGGTTGACATTTGATGTCAGTCTTTCAGCTGTGTGAAATTATAGCTTCTGTTTGTTATGTTTGTTATGCATTGCCTTGTGTGTACCAATGGTGGATACAGACATCTTGTTGAATATAAATTCTCACTAAAACCTGATGCTTTTTATGAGGTTATAATGACTATATTATAATGTTCAGGCCAGTTCTCTGAATTCCTGTTTCTTTGTGGAACAGAAGACACAATTTTAAGCATCTTGGCTATCTCATTCACTTCAATTAATAAAACCGAGTACAGAGCAATGGAAGATTTATTACCTTATGAAAGGAAATACAAATATCAACTGTTTTTTTATACCATAGTAACAATGATGATAATGATGACAAGGACTAATCTATTAGATTATAAGCATGACACATTTATTTAAATTATAATATTTTACTGAGAATTCAGAACATTCATTTGAAGATACTCTTCCCTAGTCTATCATTTTTTATGCCTATACTCAAATAAAAACTGCTTGTTACACACAGGATTTCTCAAAATAATCTTAATTTACCCTCAACTTTTTTTTAACTTCAGGTTTTTATTTACATGATCTCTAACTCCACTTTCCAGAAAAATCTCAAATAAATAATAATGAACTGTTAAATAATAAACTGTTAAAAAAATTCATTTCCTACAGCCACACACCTTCTGCTCTATCCAAGTATGCAGAATTCTTTCCACTTTCTTTTTTAGTCTTCCAATGTTTTCTTTGGTCAATAGAGGATTTATGTTCTATGACCATACTTACCTAGTGTGAAAATCTATTACCCTTTCTGTCTAATATATTGCAAAAACAGTGCTTAGTGGAAAAAGCAGGAAAGGTAAACCAGGGGACATCTGTAAATACCAAGAAAAACAACCAAGCTTACAGTTCTAAGAAGCCTGAGATGAGAGAGCATCTCAAAACATTACATAGCAAGGCTGAATGGGGATTTTCATCAGGTCTTGGTGAAACTTCTGAAAGCTGCTAAGACTGCAAAGGGCCATACAGAGATCACTGTAATCATTTTAGGCAATCTTAGAAAGTTAAAATTTACTAAACCAAGTTGTCTTGCTTAAGAGAAAATATTTAAACTTAGTACTTGAACAGCATTTTTTATATTCAGAATATTTTGGAAACATAAAAAAAACTACAGAGAGCTTTTAGCTCCTCTCTTAAAAATGGAGAAACAAGACTTGTAGTGTTTAATATTTAATGGCTTGAAGATACCATGTAGAAAGCTAAGACAATTTCAGAGACTATGTCTGAGGATGTAAAAAAGCTGAAAATACCTGTCATATTAGCTCTCATTTGCGGGTGTCTATGGGGTAACAGCATGGTAATTTTTTGATAGGTCTACAACTGCTACAGACAAGCCATCTCTAACTTCTCAAAATACTCAACATGTTAACTCCCTCTTTAGTAATCTTGACATTCTGCAAGAAAAACATATATAAGATTTTAAAAAAATGCTGGGAATGTGGACAAACTAGCCTATTTTTAAAGGGATAAAAAGTTATTTACAGCAACTAAGGTTGTGGGGCCTTAATAGATTTTCTTGTGCAACAACTTCAAAAGCTTGCAGAATTCTTGGGAAATAACACAGTTGGAAAATAATACAGAACCTTGGGTTCAAGTCCTTTGTTCAGGTCATAACACAGTATTTTATTATATTATGACACACAGCATAGTAATTCTGCTAGACAGGACTTGATCTGCAATTCTCAACTACATGAAAGAGTAGAATGAGAAAGAGTTCAATGTCTCCTGAAGTATTTCAGGCTCTGCAGGTTTCAGTTAATCTCTGGTATTCTGCAATGCTTTATAGAAATATTTATTTTTTATTTTACTCAGTTGAGAGGGATCCACACAGGAAAACAAAGTAAAGCACTAACACAGCTTCAATAAAATCAATAGAATCTTTTCTCTCATCTAATTTCTCTCAATTGTCACAGACATTGACATGACATCAATCATTCCAGTAATTTGACAGAGATGTACAATGCCTTGATGGTGCTTCAGCATTTTTTTATGTATACATAATAATACTTGCTCTTGATGTTTCACTGTTGCTCCACTTAAAAATTCTATGTATAAACACATGAAGATCCCCTGTCATCAGTGAAAACTACATTTTACTCAACCAGAATAAATGGTTTCTCCGGGAGAACAGAAAACAAAGTTTTTCAGCTAACTCTTGGCACTGCACATCAAACAAGGAGCCCAAGCTGCTGCCTTGATTCAGTAACTCTGCTGGGATTGCCATCAGGGGTGCCAAGCAGCACCAGCTGTAATGAGGATAGTGGTACAGACCTGGTTTGACACTGACTCACCTCTCTGAGGTCACTCACAGCTGTCAGGTAGCTGCAATTTTCACTCATGGCTGAACTGCTTCAGGCACACCTAGGAGCAAACTATGAAGTTTTCTAGCCATAAATCCCAGGAACTTTCAGTATCCTACCTGGAAACTGTTGTGTGTTACTAGTACCAGTGTAACATTCCTCTCAAAAAAAGGTATTTGAATATTCTGTAAAATTTTTTACATTACCTTTGTCAAATGGAAATTTGGCATGATTTCCATGCTTGCCAAGTGTATTGGTTTTGCATGCCCTGTTTTTTGACAGCAGAGAGGGCTCACAGAGGTGGCTTCTGTGAGAAGCTGCTGGAAGCTTCCATCATGTCCAGCAGAAGCAATCCCTGATGGCTCAGAAGATGGACATGCCACTGGCCAAGGCTGGGCCAGTTAGGGATGATGGTCACACCTCTGGGATAACATATTTAAGAAGAAACCAAAACCAAAGTGGGGGCTAGTTTTAATTCCAGCCAGAGAAGAGGAGGAGGTGAGAACATGTGAGGGAAACAACATGGAGACACCAAGGTCAGTGGGGAAGGAGGGGCAGGAGGTGCTCCAGGCACCAGAGCTGAGATTCCTCTGCAGGCTGTGGTGAGACCAGGGTGAAGCAGCTGTGCCCCTGCAGCCCCTGGGGATCCATGGGGGATGCAGAGATCCACCCACAGCCCCTGGGGATCCATGGGGGATGCAGAGATCCACCCACAGGCCCTGGGGATCCATGGGGAATGCAGAGATCCACCCACAGCCCATGGGGAAGGTGCCCATGCCAGAGCAGGAGATGCCTGGAGGAGCTGTGATCTGTTGGGAAACCGGGTGGAGAGAGGGGCCCCTGCTTCCAGGCTGGAGCAGCCTGTCCTTGGGGGACTGCACCCCATGGAAGAGTGACCCACACCACAGCAGGTTTGGGAGGACTGTGTGCCCATGGGAGGCAC